TTAACCCTCGAGCGGGTGTTCTGGCATACAATGTGTGCTGTTTTCACTTTTCCAAGTATAACTTTGATAAATAAATAGTCCCACAATCCGTTCACTTAGGATCTTCCCGTCAGACTTTTGTTTCGCTTCAGTAATATTATCAGCTTCCTGAAGTCCATAAATGTAAACATAATTTCTTTTTCATGACTTGCAATGCCTGGTTAGTGATTGTTCACGACCACTCAAATGGCCTTGTGGGTGTTTTTGAAAAGCGTAAAAATTCTAAAGCAATAGGCAAAGATTATCAGATTTTATATGCATATTGAGTATCTTGGAAGTCTGTTTAATTTTAGTGCCCCCTAAGATTTGGCACACTGCCTAGATTGGACACTGCGTAGGTTGCTTAGGCCTAGAACCAGCCCTGCATGTGATTAACAAGTAGAAAATAGCATTATCTGGGTTTTAAAAAATACATTTTTCATACAGAGATCTAATTTGTTTATGACATTTGTGATCCTGTTGGTTTAGGGAGCTATAAAGGGAAATAGATAGAGGTGGTATTCAGATTTAAACAGATGCTTCAAGTTTAGAGGCAACACATCTCTCTGTGCCTGGTATAGTCAGCAGTGGAAAAGGGTGCTTGTCCTTATTATGGAATGTTTCTGAGATCAGAATGCCAAATTAGATGGGCCTTTTTGTCTCATCCACCAAGCAGGGTTCTTATGCTTTTACCAACAGTGGGAAATTCTTTCCCACCCTGACATATAATTGAGTGAAAAGATGTGGAAAGAAAAAAAATCTTAAAAGCCCCAGGGTTTTCAAAAGCCTCATGACTGATTTTGATTTCTATATTGATTTGAGGAAAATACTTCATTTACCAAAACAAAAGGGAATAGCAGTTTTACTTTCTCTTGAAATGGCAATAGGGTGGTGTGGTTATTACACACACACACACACACACACACACACACACACACACACACACACACACGTTTCTAATGTTCCCTCAATCTCTGCAGATTTTATGAAATTATTCATGCACCTTAACAAGAAATGTTTCTATGGAAACTGAGAAACTGAACTTTCATTAGGAAACCTACGAGAGAGAGAGAGAGAGAGAGAGAGAGAGAGAGAGAGAGAGAGAGAGAGAGACCAACTAAAAATATAAATTGCCTTCTGCAGGAGGATGCATGAATATTCTTGTTGCTCCCTCCACACACACACACACACACCTTTCCATTCTGCATCGTGGGCAGATCCCAGCTGGACTATACACAGCAATAACATGGAGGCATTGTTTACCACTTGCCAGACTCTGTAGGGAGATGTAAAATTCTGCCAGAGCTTCGCAGCTCTCAAGGGGAGATTTCTTCAGGGAAACAGAGCGTTCAGTGCTGTGTGTCATACTAGCTTTCCAGAGTCAAAAATACATAGCTCTTTTTTTTTTTTTTTGAGGTGGGGTGGGAGTTGTCCTGAGACTGTGATTCTTCATCCAATCCAGACAGATCTGAGGCTGTTGCTTTTTCATATAAATGTCCCCTCCCATGTCAGCCTCCGCTTGAAGAAGCATTGGGTGAGATGAAGGAAGTACCAATGTAATGCTGCCTGACTCCTCATCCGTAGCATAGCAGCTGGCACCCCTCTCCCACCCCATTTCTGAATCTCAGAGCAGCTGGATCTATGGGCAGGATCATCCCCTTGGCGTGCCCACTCCCACTTCAAGGGAATGTGACTGGCTTGGGACCAAAATTCATCCCGAACTTTCTTTGTTTTGAAATCGTCTGTTGAGCCCCTCTTCCTCATTTTTCCTTAACAAAAGTAAAATATGGAAAAAAGCAATGACACACACAAAGAGAAAAAATAAGAAGAGGTGTTTGAGGGGTCGAACATGACCTCCATTATAAAGTAGAAGTAGTATTTGACTTATGACCAAAATTGAGTCCAACGTTTCTGTTGCTAAGTGAGACAGTTAAGTGAGTTTTGCCCCATTTTTGCGACTTTTCTTGCCACCCTTGTTAAGTGAATACTGCAGTTGTTAGGTTATCACCCAGCTATTGTGAATCTGGCTTCCCCGTTGATTTTGCATGACTCAAAAGGTGATCACATATCCTGGGACACTGCAACTGTCATGAATCAGTTGCCAAGTATCTGATCATGTGACCATGGGGATGCTGCAACGGCCATAATTGTAAAAACAATTATAAGTCACCTTTTTCAATGCCATTGTAACTTTGAATGGTCACTAAACTGTTGTAAATCAAGGACTACCTATAGACAATGGGTGTCAAATCAAGGTCCACAGGCCCATGGGGCCAGCCTTGAAATATCAAAAGACTGGCCCATGGCCCGTTTTTGGCCTCCCCAGCCTTCAACAGCACTTTGCCAGCCAAAAACGGGCCACCCGGAGGCCCCACAGAGCCTTCACATGGTCTATTTTGGCTGGCAGGGTGCTGCAGCAGGCGTCTGTCCTGTCTCCCCTCCCTGCCCCCCCCAGCCTGTGGAGGAGACTACAATGCTGATCCAGCCCTCGAAGAAATCTAGTTTGACACCCCCGCTGTAAACTTCATTTTTCCTAGGCACCTTGAGAAAGACCCAGATTTGTTCTGGTTTTTACTTGTTCCTTCATTTTATTGTTAACTAGACGATCAGTGACCCATTGACTAATTATTCCAGAGATGTTTCCTGCAGATTAAACTGCAGAACAGAATGACATGAGACAGACAAAAAAGCAGTGGGTGCAACTTCCAACTTCTCACGAGCTTCCCCATTGAGGTTCCATGTGGAAAGTTGGCAGGGAGCATTGGAAATGATGATCATGCAGCCACTACTGTCTGTGGCAGCTTGGCAGCCACAACTTTCTCAATTTCGGTCCCAGAGGAGCAAAAAGTCCAGACTTTGGACGCATTCTTTAAGTGATGCATCGTTTTGCCCAATTGAAAATTACAGACAAACCGGAGTATTTTAGTAGCATATAAATGCTACAATCTGTAGTCACGCTTGTTGTTTCCTATATAAGTAGTCCTTAACTTAACAATAGCAATAGCAGTAGCAATAGTTAGGCTTATATACCGCTTCATAGGGCTTTCAGCCCTCTCTAAGCGGTTTACAGAGTCAGCATATTGCCCCCAACAACAATCTGGGTCCTCATTTTACCCACCTCGGAAGGATGGAAGGCTGAGTCAACCTTGAGCCTGGTGGGATTTGAACAGCCAAACTGCTGAATTGCAGTGCTGCATTTAACCACTGCGCCACCTCGGCTCTTAACAGCCACAATTAAGCCTAAAATTCCTGTTGCTAAGTGAGGCATTTGTTAAGTGAGTTTTGCCCCATTTTATGACCTTTCTTGCCCTAGTTATTAACAAATCACTGCAGTCGATAAGTTAGTAATGCAGTTGTTAAGTGGATTTGACTTCCCCATTGATTTTGCTTGTCAAAAGGTTGCAAAAGGTGGTCATGTGCCCTTGGGACACAGCAACGGTCGTAAGTATGAACCAATTGCCAAGCATCTGAATTTTGATCTCATGATCATGGGGAGATTACAAAGGTTGTAAGTGTGAAAAATGGTCATTAATGGTCACTTTTTTCAGTGTGTTGTAAATTTGAACTGTCACTAAATGAACCATCATAAGTTGAGGACTACCTGTATAAATACAGTGCGATGAATTGTTGTTCATGATTATTCCAAATCTATTGGAAGTAAACATCTTTGACAGACAAGTTATCCAACTCACAGCAACTGGGCTAGAACCAGCATCTGGCATCGTTGGCAGTGGGCAGAACCATCACTACTGCCAGCTTGGTCTAGGATAGGGGTGTCAAACTCATGTCATCACAGAGGTGTCAAGTGATGCATTATGACTTTTTCCCCTTCGCTCAACTGGCTGTGGACATGGCCAGCGGGTGACACATCCGGCCCACGGGCCATGAGTTTTGACAGCCCTGGCCTAGGCTAAGAGCAGTTGTAGTACAAGAGTAAGGGGAAACTCTTTAGAATTCATATTATTTTATTTTGTTAAAAGATAAAGATGATAACAAAAAAGAAGTTGTCTTTCTCTTGGTCAACCTAAGAGAGACTTTGGTATTTTGGTATCTTTCTGTCAGTCAAGGCCTTCAAGTGTTGAAATCAAACCTGTGTATCAACCTTCACAAGTCTATGCATCAGTTTCCTCATATACATTGTGGGAATGCTTGTTATAATACATTATGGAAGACAATAATCTTGGCATTGGTTTTTCTTAATGCATCTGGAAGCTACTGGGTTGGGGAATACTGGTTTTATTCTTCAGAGCTAGAATATATTTCAGTCTCAAGAGTACAACAATGCAATGCTTTTCACTGCTATGAATGTTCCAAAAGCAAAATGTTCCATAAGCTTGGGGGATGTTCCTATAAGACACTTTTTGTCCAATGCACCATCTGTGTTCTTATGGCCCAAATCAACATCAAGTACCAAGACGTGGTGAAATGACTGGAGAATTTTTCAGCATTTCTAGACATTCCATTGCTGAACCGAGAGTTCTTAAAAGTATCAAGGGAGAATTGGAATGAAAATTGAGGAATTGGAGCTCACTAACGAAGCAAAAAATATCAGGCTACAAGTTAAAGGATACACTGCTTTTGTTTAAGGAAATCATTCGGAATAACTTATAATTACACTTGGACTCTGTATTTGAGAACAAAGGCTATATATAGCTTGGTAGTATAGCTCATAGCATCCAGGTTTAGTTCCTGGACTCGCCAAATCAGTCTGAAAAAGATTCTGGGTGAAATCCAAGAAAGAGCTATCATAATTTGCCAGCAAAATTCTGGGCAACCACAGTAATTATAGTTTCTTATGTCACTTCACTGCCATCTAGTGGTTGTCAAGATTTTTGCAAGTCTACATAGATACTGCTACTCTGACAGAGACTTTGACAATACGGAATATTAGCCTGCCTCAGTATCTTCTTAGTCTCCTGTTTTTATCCATCAAACAATTAAGTTTTGTTGTGATTAACACTGAGTTACTTTTCCTTTGGCAGGGACTGGTACTCAACAAGCTTGGGCGAAGAGATTTGGCTCAGAAGGTTCTTCAGGATGCAGTCCAGATACAGAGTACCAGCCACAAAGCCTGGAACAGCCTTGGAGAAGTCCTTCATGCTCAGGGCAAAAATGAAGCTGCTGTTGAGTGCTTTCTGACTGCTTTGGACCTTGAATCCAGCAGCCCTATAATTCCATTTACAGTTATTCCAAGGGAATTGTGAATGTTTAGTATTAACTCATCAAATGTGTTATGTGGAGAGGTTTAGATGATAAGCAGTCAGTTTACAGGTGTGTGTGTGAGTGTGTATGTGTGTGTGTGAATAAGAAAAGCTTTATTCATGGTAATGATTCTGTTTCAAGAATATCACATTTTAAGCTGATTCAGTACCAGATTCTAGCTTAGTTCATACGTAGCATTAAGCTATAACATATCTGTTCAGTTGGGTTATTTTGTTTTGCTCTGAAGACTATTTTTGATCTCCCATTTGAGATGTCAGTTAGTCAGACTTCCAAGAGGAGGTCTCATTGCATTTTTTAAAGACTTATAGATTTTTGGAAATATATGATTTAAAAAGGGTGAGAATGTCAGGTGGACACATTCTTCATTCTTTGCCTTAAATTACTGTGGCATTGGATATAAAAATAAAATAAAATTGGAGAAAACAATAGGCATTTCCAGAATACTGATAGAAGAGAATATTTGTAGCTCAGGGTTGAACTGTGGGGTCCCAGATGCTCTGGTAGCTTTGTTGTTTCCTTGACCTGTCAGGGCAAACCCCTTGAATATAAAATGGGAACAAACTCCACTCCCTACTAACACTGATGTGACCTACTTTAGTAATGAAACATCTGCAAGAAAACAACCAAGTTCAGAGAGCACTAGGTACCCCGTATTTCCAGAATATTTTATTAAGAAAAAATTAGGGCAGCTCAGCTTTAAAATTTCAACAAGGATTTTGTTCTAGACCATCAGAAGTTTTGGGACATTAAGCTACAGCTTGAGATACTGACAGGGACACAACCCTTACAATATCTTCTTTAAGAGTGTTCCACAAATGCTCCATAGTTGGGGATCATTAGAACTAAAGATAAATCATTAAAAAGTCACCAAAATTGCTTGTACAAATCATGTACTGTGATGGGAGATGTTGGGATGCACAAGGGACAAAATTACTACAAAATTTGGGACCTATAGTTTTGGGACCTATTGCAGAATATTACAATGGTCCGTGAGTCTAATTTGTCAAATTTTAGGCTAAATCAGTTTTGTTTGTGCTCAGGGATGTATAAAATAAAAGTATAGGCATCTGTGAAAGCACAGTAACTAGTTATAACTGTAGCTTCTTGGTTCTTTGTATCATTTTATCCTTTTGTTCCTTTAGTAGTACATGGCACAAATAACAGCATGTTATTCCATATAACTGACCTCTTGCCTCTTAAAATTTTATTTCCAGTTTAGAGGAGATAGTCTAGACCAGTGTTTCTCAACTTTGGCCACTTGAAGATGTTCGGACGTCAACTCCCAGAATTCCCCAGCCAGTGAATGCTGGCTGGGGAATTCTGGGAGTTGACGTCCGGACATCTTCAAGTGGCCAAGGTTGAGAAACACTGGTCTAGAAGAGTCATTTTACTAATATTTCAGTTGCGTTGGTATTTACTTTTAATTAGGCTGCTGTGATCATTCTGACTGATCTCATGTACTCACCTGAACTAGTTCATTTTCCCATAAACATACTATCAATAACCAGATTAGATAAGATAGGTGTAAGCCCCTATGGTATGGCTATCCAAACTTACCTGCTGCTACTTTCTTTCTAAATCTCAATTTAAAGTAGGATTAGGTATGGGGGTTTAGTCTTTAGGACAGAAATCACCTCAAAGTTCCAGTTAGAAGATAGAGAAGATAAAGGCCCTATTTTATTTCATATACATAATCAAGGTGCTAATTAAGTAATACAAGACTTGAATTTTGATAGCACAAACATTTGGCAGAGTACTACATAATCAACTAAACAATTTTTTCAGGCTATATTCCTCACATAACAGGACCCTTCCCGAATGTTCTTTCTCCATTATTGTCCCAGTGACAAAACTGGGGCATTACAATTAATTTGCAGGGAATAACTAAGGCTTACTATGGCAGTGGTGACTCATCACCTGGCAACCACCATTTCCCTCCTTGGTAACCCGGTAAATGATGCCGCATCTTCATAAAGCAGCGCTTCAGTGAAAAATAGGATGAAGTTGAAGAAGACAAATACAAATCAGGATCCATGTTATGACTAGGACTAGACATTCTTGGATATCTGTTTATTAGCCAGTAAACTTCACATTTGTGCATAACAGCCTCAGCAGTGTTTAATGGTTATGAAACTTTTCATATACTGTGTAGTAATATTGAATCCATTAAACTCTGAAGATTGAGTGAGTTTAAACAATTGCAATTTGGTGTAACAGCATAAATGCTTTCTTATTTTATTTACAGCCAACTGTTCTGGAAACTATTATTATATATTTATTGAGAGTTTTATTTCGGCCACTCTTCAGCCAAATATGGTTTCGATTAGATGCCACTGACAAAAATAATACTGTATCTAGTTATTACAAGTCCATTCCATTAATTTATATAAGAGTCAAAACTCCCTTTTGTTGCAGTACATGTTTTTGTGAAGGAGAAAACTAACAACCCCTGCCAAGGATGAGTTATTTTATGGAGTTTTATTATATGATGGATATTTTAAATTTTATAAGCTGCTCAGAGTCTCTTATTGTTGGTTGGTTATATAAATGCGTTAATGGATGGATGGATGGATAGGTGGGTGGATGATAGATAGATAAACATAGCTGAACTACAACTTACTAGGTGAGTCCACTTTGAGTTACAGTTTGGCAATTTCTGGAGAGTCATAGATAGCCACTCCATCTTAGAGAAAGTAGAAAACATGAAAATTAATTAACTGTATAAACATGATTAATTAGGAACTTTTCACTGATGAATGTGTGGGACTTGAAGGTCATTAATTACTTAGAATACTTCGGTACATTATAAACAATTTTTCCCCTTTTGCTCTTACGTCCATAATTCTAATATGTAATATTCTCCAAGAAAAACTACATCATTTATTTCATTTGGAAGCCAGTCTGCAATGCCTTTGAAATTTGATATGCCTTTTCACAATGAGACATGACAACACTGAGTTTGAAACAGCTTTCACCAGATGAATAAACAAATCCCAGAGAGAAAGATGTGTTGCGCATATAAGGTCATTGCTGCTGCTTCTCATTCTTTGCATCAATGTACACAAATCAAATTCTGAATGATGCCTATTTGTTGCAAAAAACAATTTAGTATATTTCTGAGGGTTTCATATGGAAGGTAAAGGGAAGTATCCTATCCAGGAAAAATCAAGGTTGGTACCATATTATGGAATTGAATCATGGAATCAGAAGAGACCATTTAAACTCCAGTATAGGCATTCAAAGAATCCCTGACAGAAGGATTTATAGCTTCTGTTTAAACACTCATTGAGTCCTCCATCTTTTGGGGTAATTATTTACACAATCAAATTTACTATTGTAAACTTTTCCAATATTAATTTGGCATATGCAGTTCTTTTATCATAAATATATTGTTTCGTGCTCTACCTACTAAGCTAATAAAGAATTTGGCCTTCTTTAAAGTGACCTCCTTTCAATTATTTGAAGAATGCTATCATATACCACTTCAATTTTCTCAAGATTAAAGAGTTCCAGTTTATGTAATTGCCAGTCAAAGCTTTTAGTTGCTACTGTACACGCTGATCATTCTTACTACATTCTCTGAACTTATTTCAGTTTGTCTTGAGTCCTGTAACTATGAAACCAAAAAATGGATTTAATACACCAACATGATTTAGACTATACTTATTTATAATGAATTTGCCTTTTTGACAGCCAAATGGAACTGCTACTAATCCAGTACTCAAAAATCCTTTTCACAATTAAAATTACCAAGCCAAGTGATTCCCATCTTATGCACGGTATATTTGATTTCTGTTGTTTTAATCCCACTTTTCTAATCTTTCCAGATTATTTTGAATTTTATTTCTGCCTTCTAGGATATTGCCTATCCAATCCACTTTGCGTTCTCTGCAAATATATAAGCATTTCATTTCTTCAGTCAAATCAAAATATTAATAAAAAATACTGAAAAGTAGACAAACCAGGACTGAATCACATGGTACCATCACTATTTCTCTACAATTTGATGAGGAACCATTAATGTGCTTTTCAGACTACCTATGTGTCAGTTATCAGTAATGCCACTCAATTCACATTTAATTAGTTTGCTAATTACAAAGACATGGAATACCTCTTTTTAATGTTTTTCTGAAATTGGAGTATATTATGTTTACAGCATTCCTATAATCTACTGGTGCAAAGATGCACTGTGCAAAAAATTAAATAGTTCTTTTGACAAGACTTGTTTTTGACAGATCTTTTGCTTACCTCAACATTGCTTATAAATCATTTTATGTTTTGATCCAGAATATTTTCAGATACCAGTGTTAAACTGACTGAATGACAGTTCCCTAGATCCCGCTTTCCTCTCTTTTTGAATATAAGAGTCATTTATTATTTTCCTGTTGGTTGACACTTTACAGTATATGTATATTATGTAAGGGGTCAGCTGAATCCCATCAGTAAGTTCCTTCATTATCCTAGGATGAAAGTCTTCTGGCTCCTGAGATTTAAATTTACTCAGAATAAATGTGATATTTCTATCAATTCCAAAGCTGTTCTTCATTCTGCTTTTCAGAATTGCCAGATTAAATGTATGTTGTCTTTTAAAAGAAGACATTGCTTTTATATGTATCTTTTTCTTTTCAGGCCTTTGTTAAATTTGAATGGACAACTACATTGCCTTCTTCAGAATTCACATTTTGCTTATTAGGATTACTTGTTGTGCTTTTAAACTCTCTATTTTAAAATCTCCCATCTACCTTTGCAAGATCCAGTGGTGGGTTTCTACCAGTTCAGACCAGTTCAGACGAATCAGTATGGTTTGGTGGCCTGGGTTGCTGGAACTGGCAGCGACCCAGGCCTGCCATGCCCCTGAACTGGTTCTCCGGGCAGCGCCATAGATGCTGCCATCTTGTTTTTTGCTTCTGCAATGCGCAGAACAATTTTTATTGCACATGCGTGCAGCGCACCCATGAGCAAACTGGCAGTAGTGCCTGCCAGAACCCACCCCTGGCAAGATCTCTTTCTTTATGAAACCACACTGGCTGTTTTTGCCAGTCTTTCAGAAGAATTGTGCTTTACATCAGGGTTTTTATAACTGTTCTGCTGAAATATAACGTCCACAAGACTTTGAGGGGTTCCATGACACACTACGGAGGGGGGGGGGGAATGTTCATTGAGGAACTAGAGAGCACTCAAACAAAACCAATTTTCTAGTGCAAAAGTTTTGCCTTTTGATCGGAGGTTCTGCAATTTTTTTTTAAAAACACTCAACAAGTCTGTAAAAGTTAGAAAACCCCTGTTTTAAATGGCACCTTTTAAAGGAACCCTCACCTTTCTTACCATTGCTTTTCTCGTTAGTTGCCTCCAGTCTGAACATTGCTTATTTTCGCTCTTGCAGTGGTTATGATTCAAAACAGCTTCTGAATTGTTCAAATGTGTTAATTTGGCTACATCTTCTGCTTCCTCTGACCTAATTCTGGCGAGAAAGAGGTAGACAGAGATGTGATAAGTATAAATATGGTATGTGAGCTAATCATGACTAAAGCAGACACTAGTTCATGGGGAGCCATTATAAAAAATCTCCTTCAGATTCCAAAGGGAATATCCATGGGGGTGAGAATCAGATCTAAATAGAAAATGCTTTCCCATCTCCATAACCTCATTCACAGACCATGAAAGGAATGAGAGATTTAAAGCATGTGATATCTTCTGCTTCTCCCGGACTACATAATTACCTTCTTGTCTCAAAATAGAAGGACTAGAGGAAATAAATTGGTGTTGTGGCCCGCCTGCGGCCAGTGGAGCTGGCAGCAGATTTAGACAGTGAGGAGGTTGGGGAGGAACATGGGCCAGTCCTGGGGCCAGAGCCGTATGCCAGTTTTCAGCTGCCTTCAGATCAGATGAACAGCTGAAGCCTGTTCCCAGTGTGCGCATGCGCAGAGTTGCCAGATGAAGGGAGCAGCTATAGAGCGGGTCGATTTGGGAGTAAGGCCACAGGTGGACGATGAANACATACCTCCCAGTGCCCAATAAGATCGCACAGGATGGGCCTTCTCCGGATGCCGTCGACTACACAATGTTGTCTGGTGGCTCCTTGGGGGAGAGCCTTCTCTGTAGCTGCCCCAGTCCTATGGAACGATCTACCCCCTGAGATCCGGACTCTCCGCACTCTCTCGGACTTCCGAAAGTCTGTTAAGACCTGGCTGGTCCGGCAGGCCTGGGGCTGCTGATCTCTGATTAAAATTCAGCCCCATTAAGATCGAGTACATGGTATCTCTTTTTAAATCCGCTTTGTTTTGTATTTTTAAAATTCTTTTAATATTTTTTTTATTGTTTTTATGTAAGCCGCCCAGAGTCCTTCAGGATTGGGCGGCATACAAATCCATTAAAATTGAAATTGAAAATTGAAAGTTAGTTTGCTCAATATAAAAGAAGTCCCTGTGTTCTTCCTATAAGCAAAAAATATGTCTCATCCACAATGAAGTTCAGGTTGTGTGTATATGTTAAAATATATTATGCCAAGCTTATGTTAAGTAAATTAAATGGTATAAATAGGTATGCTCATCCCTATTTTCATCAAGCTAGAAATAAGACACATATTGCGTGTTATCAACAAGAAGCATGGATTGTATGGCTAAGTTAGTATTGTATGGGTTAAATCCAAACTTTACATTTAACATCATTTCCAGTAAGCCTAGGAAAATCTCAAGTCTGTGTGCCCAATATCTATCTTATGTTTTTTTCTGTCACGGAGGAGAAGTATTTCATGGTCATACTGGAGTCCATAGGTAAGAAAATTCTTTGTATGCCAGTCTGAATTGCCAGCTATTGTATAGATCAGGAGTTTCATTGCTGGCCGCATCAGGGTTGTGTTTGACCTCGGGGAGGTGGGAGGGTGGCCAGGAGCATGGCCAGCTTGACATCGCTCATGTCGGGGGCACCTGTGGTGGCCCGAGCACTCTGCCAGTGAAAAAGGGCTCCCGAGCTCCATTTTTGACTGGGACGGCCTCCTGCAACTCCTGTCAGGATCGAACTCCAGACTGTGGACAGAGCCTACAATGCTGCATTCTAATCATTGTACCACCAAGGAACAATGTGTGTGTGTCTGTGTGTGTGTGTGAGAGAGAGANTCTGTAGGTGTGGCCTGCTTTCCGGGTCCACTGGTGGAACCTCTTCTAATCGGTTCGGTAGATTTGACGAACCGGTTCTACCGAATAGGTGCGAATTGGTAGGAACCCACCTCTGCTACAAAATCTCCATTCCCTTCCAATCACCTGGGACTTGAGAGGCAGAGAATAGAAGCGGGCGAGGCCAGTCAGAGATCGTATTTCCCAGTTCTCCGAACTACTCAAAATTTCTGCTACTGGTTCTCCAGAATTGGTCAGAACCTGCTGAATACCACCTCTGCTCCAGAGATTGGTATTATCATATCCTGATTATGGTGAGGTAGAGAAAAATCTCAGGTATCTTAATACGCACATGCCCAATTTTTATCAGGTACTACCTATTATGATCAATGGACTCAGAGAGATTCCAAATGATTATACAGGTAGTCCTCAACTTACAACAATTCATTTAGTGTCCATTCAAAGTTACAACGGCACTGAAAAAAGTGACATGACCATTTTTCACGCTTATAACCATTGCAGCATCCCCATGGACATGTGATTTACATGCTTGATGGTTGACAACTGACTTGCATTTATGACGGTTGCAGTATCCTGGAGCCTTGTGATCCTTCTGAAAAGGGAAGTCAACGGGGAAGCCCGATTCACTTAACAACCATGTTACTAATTTAAGAACTGCATTGATTCACTTAACAAATGTGGTGGGAAAAGTCTTAAAATGGAGCAAACACATTTCTCACTTAACAACATCAACTTGGGGCTCAATTGTGGTCATATGTTGAGGACTGCCTGTACTGCTTGTTTTCAATTCAGGGTTTTTTTTTTCTGTTTAGGGCACCGATATTTCTCCTCTATCTTATGACAGAACTGTTTTGTGGATTGGAAAGTTAACATCACTCTTTCAGTTTTGCTTTCAAACCTTTTCCTTGGCGGTCAGCTTTCTGAACCGGTTGCTGGCATCAGTAAAGGTAAGGACCTCTGGATTCTCCTACTACTAGTTGTTCCTATCGGAAGAAAGGAGTGCAAAGGAGCTCTCAACACACATATAATCTCAGGCAATTAAATCTTCAATCCTAGGCATACCTTTTTGGTAGCTCATTGAGGCTTATTCCAAGTGCGGAAATAATTGCAAGCTTACAATATAATCCTGTACGTTCATACATACTGTATTTGTTAAGATTTTATATCCCTATTTCCCTTCAGGAACTCAACCCAGCTTTTTCATGGATCTACGTTCATATTTTACACTTCCAAAAGCATCCCTTTGTTTGGTTGGACAGAGAGAATGACTGGGTCAGAGTCAACCAATGAGGTTCCATGGCTGAGATTAGACGTGAACCTAGATCTATCTTGGGATTGTCAAACTCCTGTCCCATGGGCCAGATGCATTACATGCTGGCCACGCCCACACCGGGTTTAGCAAAGGGGAGGGGAAGTCCCAATACAGCATGTGATGCTGCCGTGATGACATGATTTTGACACCCCTGATGTAGCTGGTCCTTCACCATAATACTATGACCTACGTATATTTCACTGTTGATGCCGCAATTTGTAAAAAGCATGAAAAAGATGCAGTTAAGGTCTATGTCAGTAATGGCAAAACCTTTTAGACATTGAGTGCCCAAACTGTGCACATGCATGCCCAAACGGAATGGTGTGTCCACATGTGCACATGCGTGGACATGCACATGCATGAACATATGTGAACATGTTGATTTGTGGATGTGCATGAAAGGGTGTATTTGCAGACATGTGCAAACGTGCACACGCATGTCCAAATGGAAAGGTGTGTGCCTGTGTGCACATGTGCACATGCATGGACATGAACATGCATGAACATGTGTGAACATGCGGATTCGTGGATGTGCATGAAAGGGTGTATTTGCAGACATGTGCAAACGTGCACACGCATGTCCAAATGGAAAGGTGTGTGCCTGTGTGCACATGTGCACATGCATGGACATGAACATGCATGAACATGTGTGAACATGCGGATTCGTGGATGTGCATGAAAGGGTGTATTTGCAGACATGTGCAAACGTGCACACGCATGCCCAAATGGAAAGGTGTGTGCCTGTGTGCACATGTGCACATGCATGGACATGAACATGCATGAACATGTGTGAACATGCGGATTCGTGGATGTGCATGAATGGGTGAATTTGCAGACATGTGCAAACGTGCACACGCATGCCCAAATGGAAAGGTGTGTGCCTGTGTGCACATGCGTGGACATGCACATGCATGAACATGAGGATTCGTGGATGTGCATGAATGGGTGAATTTGCAGACATGTGCAAACGTGCACACGCATGCCCAAATGGAAAGGTGTGTGCCTGTGTGCACATGCGTGGACATGCACATGCATGAACATGAGGATTCGTGGATGTGCATGAATGGGTG